CCCTCCGGCATGCGTAACCCGGCTCGCCCCGCAGGTCTTCAACGCGCACTACAACCTCACGCGCCACATGCCCGTGCACACGGGCGCGCGGCCCTTCGTGTGCAAGGTGTGCGGGAAGGGCTTCCGCCAGGCCAGCACCCTGTGCCGCCACAAAATCATCCACACGCAGGTAGGTGGCGGCCGGACCGCTTTTCCTGCACCTCCCACCTCTCCTCAAAAAAATAACCCTTCCCTTAACGCTCCGTTCACGGGCCCGTCGTCCCGCAGGAGAAGCCCCACAAGTGCACGCAGTGCGGGAAGGCCTTCAACAGGAGCTCCACGCTCAACACGCACATCCGCATCCACGCCGGCTACAAGCCCTTCGTGTGCGAGTTCTGCGGCAAGGGCTTCCACCAGAAAGGTGAGCGGGGCCGGGGCCGTCATTAGCGGGGATTAATTGCGGCGCGGGCAGAGCGGCCCCAATTACCGGCCCCTTCAGCGGGGCCAGCCCGCGCTTCTCCTTTAAATGCTTTTTAAGTGAGCGGTGCCGGGCCCCGCTCCTAATCCTGGGCCCCGCATTTGCCGCGGGTCACCAGGCTCGCCCTGCGCCGCGTTTGCGCCGCGCCCTTTGCGCGCTGCTCCGCGCACCGAGTGTGACAAGTTCGAGCGGGCGGAGGGGGGACGAGGACACTTCCTAGCGCCCCCCTGTCCTACCTGTGCGCGCTGCGGCCAGAGCACCCCCGGGTAACTGCGTGTCCCCCCCGCTTGTCCCCTCCCGCAGGCAACTACAAGAACCACAAGCTGACGCACAGCGGCGAGAAGCAGTACAAGTGCACCATCTGCAACAAGGCCTTCCACCAGATCTATAACTTGACTTTCCACATGCACACCCACAACGACAAGAAGCCCTTCACGTGCGTCACGTGCGGGAAAGGATTTTGCAGAAACTTTGACTTAAAGAAGCACGTCCGAAAGTTGCACGACAGCGTCTCCAGCGCAGCGCCGCCGCCGCGGGACCCTGCGCGCAGCGGCCAGAGCTAAGGGCCGCCCCGGACCTGCTCCTTCAGGCCAGCACTATTTATCCAAAGCAGCCTTTGCTTTTTTTTTTTGCTGTCTTTCTCCCCAGCGGGCTCCGCCGCGAGCGCTCCCGGCCGCGCTTGTACATAAGAGGAATCGTATTTAGAGGCGCCGCGCTGCGCTGCGGAGCCGAGCGGCCCTTGAGGGCGCGGGGCTGGCGGCCCCCAACGCCCCTCACGCGTGTCTGTAAATCTCCATTTTAAATGTACGCTCGAATAAGTGAGGAATATATATATATATATATATAACTATATCTATATCATGGGACAATAAAGCGGCCCCTTCGTAGCTGTCTCATTTCCCACCTGGGCTCCAGCCCGAGTCGGGACCGGGCTCACATGGGCGCTGTCCCCTCGTGTCCCGGGTTCCTGCCCGAGCCCGGAGGGATCCAGGGGAGGGAAGGAGGCGGCGGCGGCTCCGCGCTCGGTGCTTCCTGGTGCCGCTTCGCGGGGTCCCCTCGTTAAGACGCGATGAAGCCTCCCCTGAGCGCCCGTCCTGCCCTGCATGCAGATGAAATGATCTCCGCTCGCCTCCCGACTAATGACCCAAATTAAGAGGGGAAAACACAGGCCCTTCAAACCGCATTACATTAATCTAATCACTCCCAGCAGGCCGCAGAAACTCTTTTTGATCAGAATATGGATAATCAAGCACTTGGATTACACTAAATATTCCCTTCTCGTCCCCTCGGCTCCCGTTTTTAATGCGCGAGTGTCTATTCCGGCCACGTCGTTAGGAGCGATGTTACCCCCGCGGGCTGGAGGCTCCCAGCGAGGCGCGGAAGCAGCGCGACACCGAGGGGCTGGGGACGCGCTAAGGGGACCCTCGCCTGTCCCCTGTTCATCGGGGACTTAAGCGGCATGGGGGAAGCGAGGCCGGGCGGAGCGGGAGGCGCCCGGGGCCGCAGCGGGAGCGGAAAGGGAGCCTCATCCCCTACATCTGCACACTCGCTCGAGTTGCTTTTTATTATTGCTATTATTATACATATATATTTTAAGTGCCAAAGTGTCGTTTGGATGGTCTGGGCCGGGTGAGGTGCAGCGAACGGCGCTCACTGATCCCGGCAGCGGGGAAAGATCCTGCCCGCGTTCGCTGAAAGATCGAGGTGAAGAGTTGCGTCTTGAAGGGATTTCTCTTTTTCTTCCCTTTTTTTTCCCTCTCTTTTTTTTCCTTTTTTTTTTATGCTGCTGTTGTTGACACAAGTCACTCACGAGGAGCGAAGTCCTCCCAGCACAGGGGCTGTTGCTCATGCCCTTGCGAACGGGGCGGGAGCGGCACCGCGGGGACAGACCTGCCACCCCCGCGGCGGGACCCGCGATGGGGCCGCGCCGGGGAGCGGGGGAGAAGCGGCGCTTCCTCCGCACCCCGCGTTGCTCCGCGCTGCGCGGGGCGCAGACCCCGCTCCCCGACGCGCGCGTTGATTTTAAAGCGGGACTTTGTCCCGGCGCTGCCTCTGCGGGGGCCCCGTCAGCGGGTGGTGGAGGGGCCTCCAAGGGGGGAGGGGGGGGGGGGGCACCGCGGGGCCGCCCCCCCCGCCCAGGCCCGCGGCGCGGTGAGGGGCGCCGGGCCCGGAGCCCCGCGCTGGGGAGCGGCCGCTTTGCCCTTTTCCCTGCACTCCGCTCTCCAAACGTCTGAGCAACCGGTTTGCTGCTAGAAACATGTTAATTGCCAGCGGAGCTCATTAAGGCATGCACATGCAAAACACAGCGAGGGAGATTAAATGGACAAAAGCGCAATAATGAACTGTCAACAATCGGACCCATCTACACGACCAGGAGCACTCAAGAATGAGGCATTTAGAGGCAACAAAGGATTGTCTGGGACAGGAAGAAAGGACGACCTAGACTTTTGTTTAGTCAACACAATTGATTACAAATGAGAGATTAACAGGATAGCTTCAGAGTTTTTTTGAAGGAGGCAGAAGAGAAAAGTCCAATTAAGTGCACCGAATGTTAACTACATTGATTTCCACGGCCAGCCCTAGAGAAATTCTCATTAAACCATCCCTGGCGATCCCTTTTGGAAAGTAATTTGTCTCCCTGATGGAGCAGAGAAAGGGAGCCGTGTAAAGAGAAAGAAGCGCTAGTTCTTGGCACAATGAGCTTAGGAGACACACTGGAAAGAGCCAAAGGGGGAGTTAATGAGCATCTGACAAGCCGCTTGGACCCGGGCCTGGAGAGCAGCGATGAAAAGATGGAATTGGCCAACAACTATTCTTTATATCAAACATAAAAAGGCCAATCTGAAACAGGGCTGCTCAAAGCTGGTGGGGAAGAGAAGAAAGGCCCCGCCGGGGGGTGGAGCGCAGGGCCCGGCCGCCCCGTTGGGACGGGGGGAAGAGAAACGCGCTGCCACGTCCCCCTGCTCAGGGACCCCGGCGGCTTCGCAGCCCCCCGGGCCTCACAGCCCGGGGGAATTTGCAGCCCCCTCCCCGGGCACCTCGCGCAGGTTGTTGCGATCGGGAGCCGCCTCTGCCCCGCTGCGGACGGGACTCGCCCGGAGGAGGCTATTAAATCAGCTTAGAGCTCGTTAATAACAATTTTGGCTTAAGTCTGTATTGACTCAGGTTTAGGAAGGGCTTAGCACTTTCGCTTAAGTCAACACGAGGCCCAGGGGCCGCCCCGCTCCGCGCCGCCCCCCGCGTGCCGCGCACGAG